CGCGGTGTGCAAAGTCCACCGTCTACTGATAGACGGAGGAAATGTTTGGGACATCCTGTTCAAAATCACTATGGACAAGATGGATGTCAACCCGCGCATGATCAAACATGTGCAAGTCAACTTATTAGGATTTTCGGACACTCGGGTGGCGGTAATCGGGGTGATAACGTTGTCGGTCGTGATCGGGGACGAAGAGCCGCGGATTTCAAAACAAGTTTAGTTCACCATCGTGGAGTGCAACTCCCCCCACAACAGCATCCTAGGAAAGCCATTCTTAGCAAAGTTTACAGCCATACCATCCATGTACCACCAAAAACTCAAGTTCCCCACCAAATTCGAGACCCGAGAGTCACGTGGATTGCCTTGGAGAATGGCAAGAACACCACCTCCGGCGCGCCTAACCAATATCATCGACACGAGGGCAGAGGACCCGCGTCCCGAGTCTGTAGACTCTGACTTTGAGGTTGCGCTAGACCCATCACAGCCCGCCAACAAGCTGCGCATCTCAATGCATCTACCCAATGACATGGTCGAGCCGCTCCTCAAGCTACTACAGGAATACAAGGAGTTGTTCGCATGGTGCACCGAAGACATGCCAGGGTAACTAAGGACGGTGGCGCAATACAGTCTCGCGGTTCCCAATAATGCAGAGCCCTACCAGTCGCTCAGCAAGCCAGGCAAACGTTATTGAAGAAAATGTCACGCGAGTCCTCGCAGCGGGACTAATCCGAGAAGTCAAGTATCCTACCTGGCTTGCAAACGTATTGTTGGTCAAAAAATCTTCCAGAGCGTGGCAGATGTGTGTTGACTACAGAACTCTCAACAAGGTATGCCTGGGGGACCCATACCCCCTGCCGCGTATCGACCAGCTTATCGACATTACTTCTGAATTCATTTGGAATGTCACCTATGTGGGCATTAAGTGGGGTGCCGCTCTAACAAAATTAGAAGTAAACTTTTGTGTATGCTCATGAAATAGGATCATCACATGGCCATAATAGTGCTACCCTTATTGGTGGTTGTGGTTTAGAGAAGAGACAAGTAAGCGTGTGGCATCTCCAGTTCTAGCTTTGGATCATGACTCCTAGGCTTAAGCGCGTCATTGATTTGCTATTAACTTTGAGTTGCTTACACTAAGTAAAGGTTCAAATATTATTAGAAATGCCCAGAAAATATCATATTCGTAAAGCAGAAACATGGGTGCACTCCTATGAATGTGTAAAACATGTTTGTTAGATCAGTCGAGTCAAATTGGAATTAATTGTCAACTCATCTATAACTGTTTAGGCAAAACCAAAATGAATAATCGATTTTGGTTGAACCCGACTAGTTTTGGTTTTTTTGCTGGGAGACATGTTTCATTTCAAGATTCATCAACTATTATTTTTCTATTTAGTTCTTTTTGATTTACGTACTGAAATTTGAAAATTCAAATCGCAAATATACATTTATGTATGCATTACTTGTTTGGGGACGGTATTATCAACTCTTGTTGACTAAGTGGGGGATTGTTAGAGTTAGTCAATAGAGTTGTAATACCACATTGATGGGAGAAGGAAAGTATAAGAATTGAGTCTTTTGGCAATTTAATTAATTAATTGTTATATTAATTAATTAATTAATATTTGAATATTGTGAAAAGAAGTGTCCTTTCGAAAAGGTAACTAACTTTTTCTGTGAAAGGATGTGTCTCTTCGGAAGGTAACTTCCAGTTTTCACAAGTATAAATAGATTACTGCCATAACTCTTTTCAATAAGAGAGAATTCTTTTGAAATACTTTTTCAGACGAGAGAATACTTCTTCTTTCCCGTTTTCCTTCTCTATTTCATAAACACAGAAGTCTGGAGCTGTTTCAAAATTTTGAATTGAAGGGACTCTTGGGTGTGGTTTGCTTGAGCCTACCAATAATTTGTAGTGGGAGAAAATAACACTCTAAGGATAGTGAATCAATCACGCCTTCAATCGATTCTTTCCTACCAGTTCCTGACAGCAAGACCAAGTGCATTACGAGGGGCAACCACAAGTGACTGAACATCATAGCAACAAGAACAAGGAAACAGGCAAAGAGGGCCAAGGGTTGCATGGAGCATGTTTAAAATGCCTTCCTACATGCGACCCTGCTTGAGTTCGTGAGAAAGGAACTATGCTTGAGAGATTTTCCCTTTGGCGACGACTACTGACATTTGGTCATTTAATCTATGTCGGATAGCAACGGTTGTAACTCTTGTTTCCTTTACAAATAAGATTTTCAAGGGTTACAACCCATATGGTATCCTTATTGTATTTTACACTGACATGTAGTAGAGGTTTAGAGCACTTGCTACATTAGCCAGTGTTGATGTGTCTTGAATCGTACGAACAGCCATTACGAATGGAAGTCACGGGGGTCTCGCTGTTAGTGTTGTCAGCAGGTTCATGATACAACCTGGGAAGGAGCATTGACAGGCTGTGAAGAGTATCTTCCAGTATCTTAAGGGTACATCTGATGTGGGGATTAGTTTTGGAAGTTATACAGAGTGCGTGGTGTCTAGGTATTTAGACTCAGACTATTCTGGAGACGATGACACGAGGAGATCGATGACCGGTTATGTATTCACTTTTGGTAGTTCTGCAGTGAGCTGGAAGGCAACTCTGCAGTCGGTGGTGACATTGTCTACTACTGAGGCAGAGTATATGTAATTGACAAAAGCTGTTACGGAGGGAATATGGTTGAAGGGAGTGGTTGGTGATCTGGGTCTAGTCATCATCAGGCAGTGGTGTATTGCGACAGTTTGAGTGCAATATGCTTGGACAAGAATCAAGTCCATCATGAGAGGACTAAGCACATCGATGTAAGGTATCATTTTTTGAGGACAGAGAAGAGGATTAAGGTGAAGAAGGTTGGCACCGCGAATAATCCTGCTGACTTGTTCACGAAGTCGGTTCCACATGGCAAGTTCCAACACTGCTTGGACTTGCTGAATGTCTTGAGTGGGTGACTCCGCCCTACGGAGCATTGATGGCAAGAGAGAGAGAGAATGAGCAGAGTACATCGAAGATTTCAGAGGAAGAGGATTCAAGTCAAGGTGGAGATTTGTTGATGTGACTTGAATCAGACTATCAGCCGCTACGACTTGAAGTCACGGGGGTCTCGCTTTTATGGGCTCAATGTTATTTCATTTCGGGTTCTGGGCCTTGTGTGTAACTACTTTTCCTTTAGCAGATTGGATTAGGGTTAGACCTAGGAGAAGTACTATAAATACTTCTCATACTCCCCTGTAAACTGTACTCTCCTCGATATAGTGAAAACTGGCTCTCTCCTTCCCGTGGACTAGCTAACACACATTGTGATAGTGAACCACGTAAATAGTGTGTAATGTCCTTTCTGTTTTCATTTTCTTTCCTTGTCGAATTCTCGGATTTCCCGATCCATAGCAGCGCGGTTATAACAATCAGGGCTAACACTTTTGCTACAACTGTGGCATGGGACTTCCGCCAAGGGTGGCCAAAAATCATTGCTACGAGTAGTAGCACGGACAAAATTGTCAAGGATTCGAACAAGGTTTGATAAAATCTTTGCTACCACTTGTAGCAGAGTTATAACCCTGCTATAGATTAAAAAACCCTCGCTACACCCAATTTTGTTTTGTAGGGAGTAGGGCTGATAATCAGTTCGGTTTGATTTAACCGAAATGTTTAGTCGGTTCCCGGTTAACCGTTAAGCACATTGTACTTACCATTAACCACACTTGTTAAATAAGTCGGTTAACCGTAACCGTAACCGTATAGTCGATTCTTGGTTATTTTGTCTGTTAACCGGATAATCGTTAACCAAGTAATTTGGCAAGGTTATACCAAAATAACCGATCGATAACCTTACCAACAAATGATCTTCTTTTTTCAATGGTGAAATTTTATATAATTTTTCATACATGCACATGTGTTCTTTTCTTAAGTTGTTATTATTGAATACAAAATAATGTAACATAGATATATATCAATATATAATCAACTCAATCCAACACAAGTACACAATAATATCATTCTACCGTCAAACTTTATTAAAGAAGCATACAACGATAAGAGATCCAACAACAATTACTCAACTCGTAAACCCCACCAAATTACATGGAAGTTTAATGTTACTAATTGTTTTCAAGCAACTGTACGCAAGTCTGACTTTTTATTGTGCTCCTTCTAAAACTCTTCCTTTAAATTATTCTCATTTGAGTCTAAATCACTATTACAATTAGGCTAGGTAAGGGGTCTTGTAAGTCTTCAAGCACCCCATTATTTTTTGCCTACGTTTCTGGCTCATGGAGGTCCATTATTTGCGGCCCTAACTATGAGGATGGTTATAATCACTTAGTCGGTTAACCGTTTAACCGTCGATTATTAACAATTTAACCATCGGTTAGTTATTAGCTAAATTTGACTACCGAGAACCGACCGTTTACCATTTAATCGGTTATCGGTGTAACCGTTCAGCACAGATTTCGGTTCGGTTATCGGTTACACCGTTAATGCGATAACCATTTATGAGCCCTAGTAAGGAGAGTTTAAGGATCTAAATTCATTAAGCACTATGACAGAACTGAAAATTTAACTAGAGAGCTGTAATAAATGAGGCATTTTCTCATCCAAAAAAGAACGAATGTAAGCGAAAAGAAAGGTAATTTCATCGTATTGTAATTAATTTAGGTGCTAGTGATCTAAAAAACTGTTCCCAAGTTTTAATTCAAAAGTTACCTCCTCTTCGGCCTCGGCCTCCCTTGAATGCAAAAAAAAAAAAAAAAAAAAATTACCTCCTCTTCTTGGTCGGTATAGAAGCACTTTCTCTCTCTCGTGTATTGCTTCTTAATTTGCATTAATTAAAGAAAATTTTGACCGAGAAAAAGGACTAGAAGATCCTATGATCCCGCGGACCCTTTATTGCCCTCGATGTTGATAAAATTTTATTTTAGGGAAGTTTACATAAACTTGTGGATAGCCAATTCTGTGCACTTCCCCTTTATAAGAGGAAGGATTTTGCTGTCTTCTAATTTTTGGTTCTTTTCTATTGATAGTGCTCTACACTTGCATAGAAAGAAAAACTTGTGGAGTATCAAGCGTATGGTGAAGGAGATGAAGCAGGTTGCTGAACCGGAAAGAACCCCACTCTTGCTCATTTTTATTTCCCTGCTTTCTTCAGGTTTGCGTTCATAATCTATCCAACACTACATTTTATTTCTGTAGCTGTTTACTAATGGTTATCTGCTTCTAATATTCATTATTTTCTTTGAATGTGCTCTAAGTCGCTTTCATGGTGCAAAAATATCATGAGAAATCAACTACTACCAAATCAATACTCTGATTTCTTAAATTTCCTTTTTGAGCATGGACCTCCTATCTGTAGGAATCAAGAGTGTTTTAGCAACAGCATACAACCGAATTGGGTTGAACCTAACTCAAAGAGCTAACTGGCTGTGAGGAACCCGTTTTTGAAAAAAACCCGGGACCTGATCAATTCCGATGGAAAAGGAGTCGAACTAGAGAAACTAGATTGATTTGATCGGGAGTACCCAAGTTTAACTGGTCTGACCCAATTCGACAAACTAACTGGTTTTACCGATTTATTCCTAAGAACACCCTACCCAATCTTACCTTAATATCTTGTTCAGAACAAAAACTTTTTCCTTCCATTAATATGAAATAATCAATTCTTAGGAATCAATCCAAGATGACACTAATGAGCAAGAGACTCAATTAAGTAACCACACTTACCCAAATCACCATGAATAGAGTAAATCAATACAATAAATTTATGTACACGAAAATATTCACACGTTGTATAAAAATTTACTTGCATGAAAATTTGTACTGGAAGTTTTGTTCAGCATGTATAACTTTTTTTTTTAACTGAATGTGATAGTTTAACCCAAAATTATGTGGAAAAAATCATAAAATGCATGAGTTATAAAAAAAAAAAAAACATTCTCACTACAACACTTTTCAAAACAATTCCCATAATACTAGCGTTTGAAGCAGCTTGCTCCAGTGTCAAAGGAACTGTGTGGTACTTCGCTGGAAAAAAAAAACACGATCTACCCCCGAATCGCTCGGATCGCGGTAGAGCTAAGCGAACTAGCCACCAAATCGACATGGTTCGCTAACAACCCAAGCAAAACACTCCTGATCGCGGCAAACTCACGCGATCCACTCTAGAAAGCTGACGACCTCGTGATCTACTCCTCACATAGGTCAAAGCTTCACACGATCGTAATTTTTTACTCAATTATTGGATCGTGCCAACTTTTTTATTCCGCATAACTTTTTGAGATCTTCAACTTTTACTAGGGGGAAAATTCCAAAAGAGGAGATGGTTTTGAATTTAAGGGTTTTGAGAATGACTTTACATTTAATTTCCACATGTCCACGCACACTCTAAAAATACTTGTATTGTAATTCTCTCTAAACTACTCCCAATCAAAGGCCATGGATCACCAATGATCGGGTGTAGTATAGTGAAAGTAAAGTAATTAGCAAAATTATCGAACCTTAGGCTCTCTAAGTCTATCATTGCTCCGCTTTGGTTTGTTATTTAGTCAAACAAGAATACAATTTGAGAAACTAAACTAACTAAACTACTCTAATAACTATACTAACTAATTACAAGTTGGGTACTTACTTAGACATTGTCTCCCCAGCCTGTCACCTAACGCATATAGGCTTGTTCTTCTGTATATAGCTCTTATTGAAAGAATTCTTTCTGAGGAAAAAAAGGAAGAAAGAAAATCATAAATTACGAGCTTAGAGGCTGCATCTAAGTGGAAATAAAGTTGCATCCCAATTGCATTTCACATAGTTTACTAGAGGAGGATGCCACTTACTACATATTAGCGTCTGAGGTCGATTGTACTGCTGGCTGTTGCGTACCTTTACCGCCTGCCAATCCGTCAGCACCTCCAAGCTAGTTTGAACCACCCTCTCCGGTATCTGCGATTGACTACGCCAAACCCTTGCATTCCTTTCCTTCCATATGCCCCGGATGATAGCCAAAAATTGAAAGCAGGATTGGGAGCCTCTATTGAATGTTCTCCTACCGGTAGGCTATGGCCGAGCGATGCAAGATAATCCGCGACTACATTGCCTTCTCGAAACACATGAACTATATATATATATATATATATATATATATATGTGTGTGTGGCTACTTCGGTGCACACGCTTTTTTGGGTGCATTCAACTCTAAAAGTGGCCATAATACATCGAATTTTGAATTTTAATTAGTAGCATTAGCCTAATATGATTATATAACATATAATCACAACTAATCAATCCATTACCCTAACCCCTTAACCTTCAATTTTGAATCTCAACCAAAAATCTCAAATTGTAAACCTAAACCCTAACCCCAAATCACTAAACCCTAAATCTTTCAAATTAAAGTAATCTTGAATGATTTTTTACAAATCTATGTGTTTCTTGTTCATAATATCATATGCGACGATTGATACCATTTTGACATGAATTGCATGCTCGGAATGACCATTATGAGTTGAATGCATTGAATGCACCCAAAAAGTGACTACACCGAATATATAGTGCCTTCCACGGTACCCCGGGTGATATCCGTGGTACCGCATACCTTGAGTATGAAAACACTATCTAGACCTCGAATTAGTAGGATTTTTGGGCCCGATACTATACCCTAACCCTTAATGAGTGAACCCTAGGTCCTAATTATCTAAATCATAAACTATAAACTCTAAGATGGTGCATTATTTTTTTGCCTACATTTGGACGAATCATAACCATCTACCATTGTTTCTAATTAAATTAATCTTGGGTATAAGATTTAGTGAATTAAGATCTAAATTTTGATTTTTAAGTGTTAAAAGAGTATAGTGAATTAAAATCACAATCTCTCCAAATCCTGTTGCCCCTAGCTACTACACACTCTAGTGGAACAAAAAATCATTGGACCGAATTGGAGGCGGCACACTAGACTGGGACACCAAAGATGCCTCACTAGACACGAGATGCCGAAGAACCCACCCAAAAAAAAAAAGTAGATATGCGGCAACGGACTCTGAACGTGCACACTAGTCCTTTAAATGAAACTTAGGGGTAGTTTGCTTCAAGGATTTGGTACATGGATTTGGTAAAAAAAACTAACTATCAAGGATTTAGGTACAATCCGTTGTTTGCTTGCACCTTTTTTGGAGACCAAATCCGTGGGGCCCACGGATTTTAAGGGTCCAAATCCGTGGACCCCACAGACTTATAAATCCCACATGTTGGTGTGGGATTTGGAATATGGCATAAATCCTTGATGAGATTTTACCCATATACTCTCATGCACTTTTAATATTCCAAGGTTGCCCTCAAATTTAACTATTATACATTATAATTAACAATAAATGAATAATATAAACGTTCAATTAATGTGCAAACACGAGTTAGATTTTTTATATCATTTCTTGTGTTCTAGTTTTCTTTGACCTTTTCATGGAACGTGTAACTCTTTGTTCTCCCGATTCTAATATATGTTGTTATATGTTACTTTTGAAAAGGAGGACAAAGAATTGGTAATTGATTATGTTACGTTAAAAGTTAAAACGGAATTTTCTCGTTTATTATTATTGTCCATGTGGCAACATTATGCTTATTAGTATGTATTGTCCTTATTTTGTGCACATATCATAAACATGTCAAACATATAGAAAATGATAGTAAGGTAATTTTGAAGTTTTGTCCTTGTTTTGTGTACATATCATAAACATGTCAAACATATAGAAAAGGGCAGTAATGTAATTTTTGACTTCAAGTAGTTAATCCCACACCTTTAAATCCATGATAAAAACATCCCAACAAACAAAGGATTGTTACAAATCAATGATGCCTCAAATCCTTGATAAATCCTTGGGTTTTTAAATTACAAAACCCTCATTTTTAAATCCATGAAGCAAACGACCCCTTAAACCATGGCATAATACATGGAGTTGAGACCAAAATATTTTTGGGGATAGAAGAATCAGGAAAGACGAATTGCAGCAGGTCAAAAGACGTTCGTAGGACCGTCAATAAATCTCCAAACATAGGAGGATGAGACCCGCCTGTTCTTCATGCACAACATTCATCGCATCCTTGAACACAACAAAACTCTCCAAACCCATAGGATCAATGAACACAGAAGACGATAATTGTTGGTGTAGAAACGATAAGAGGCAGTGGGAGAAGCAAAAATCAAACCATAAAAAGGCAAGATGGCAGAGGCTCATTGCCGAAAATCGGCGAGTGAAGAGTCGCACAAAGGCGATCGAGAGCTGGAAATCGAAAACACCTAGAGAGTCCACGTTGTGCATAAATGTGGTAAGCATTGAAGGAATACCAAATGTTGTTGATGTTTCAAATTACTAGCAACAGAAATAAAAATAATGGAGAATAAAGAAAAGTACTAGTTATGAATGTAATAAAATTGAAACGTTTCTTCTCCCTCTTCCACTCTTCTGATCTGCCCGTGCCTGACTGTTAAACTTCCTACCAGGCCACTAACAAATTGTTTGTTTTCCGAATCCATTCACCACCACTATCCCCTTCACTGTGCACGAGTACATGTCCGAGTCCGCCTTCCCCTGCGTAAATATATATATTTTAAGATAAATACAATTTAATAACCAAACCTTTCGTTCTAAACAAAATAATAATCAAATCTTTTCGAAAACAATCTAATAGGCAAACCGTCAACTTTTAGTCCCGTCAACTGTGAGTTGACTCTAACGTGGGAGTTTTTATCAATGAGTGGGATGTCATTTAGTGATGTGAAAAGAGTCAACCATTTGACTATGCCACATGACTATTTATTTATTTATATAATTATTATTTTGACAAAATAAAATAAAAAATAAACAAAATAACAACCAATCAAAACCCTCACACTTTTCTTTCAGAACCCCACCAATCGATTTCTCCTATTCTACTACCAAGCTCAATTCTTCCATCCTCTCTAGTCGCTCACCTCGCTGAGGGGGAAATATTTTTGCTAAGAGAGAGGGCGACCACATCAATTGTGACCGGCGAGGGGGGAATTTTTGCCAAGGTTGTGTAATATGACCAAAGTATGCAGAAACAATGATCTTTAACATCCTCTCAATTTCTTTTTCTTCAACTCGAAATAAATCGGACAATCCCAACTAGTGCCATAAGGCAATTGGTATATTAAACCAATAGGACATAATTAACTCGTAAAAAGGGGCAGCTGGTAGGGGTGGGCGTCGGTCGATTCGGTCCAAGACCGGACCAAACTATCCTCAGACAAGACCAAAATTTCTTCTAAATCAAAGACCAAAGTCGAATCGTTATTAATTTGATTCGGTCTAGAACAAACCATATATAGCTCGATTCTGTCTGGACCATCCCATTGGACCGACTAATCTTTCATTCCAATAAAATCGCTCTGAAAGGACAACACAAGAATTGAAAAATGTAACTACATAAAAAGAAGGAATCAACTTATCCCAATTTAAATACTCCACAATTCTTAAAACCCACATGTTCCAAAATATTATGCAAAAAGTTAAACGAGAACTACTTAACTAAAAGACAAAAGTCTTTTTATTCAATGTCAAAGATAGTCTAACAAATTTTACATTTTCATTTCCAGAGTGCACGTTGGACCTCCCAATCTCCAAAATTTTCATTGTTCATTAGAAAGGCTTTCTTCTGCAATATAAGCACATGATATAAGGCATTAGAAAGGAGTTTAACAAAGGGACACTTACTCCAAGAACTATTGCAATAAAACAAATAATTCTTAACCTTGCTAATTTGCAGTGGTGTTGTCAGATTTGGCAAAAGACAATGCGGTGTCATTTATTCGCATCTTCTCCGTATTTGAGACATTAAACAAGAAAATAGAACACAATATAAATACCTGGTTCACAGTGTGTAGGTAAAGTAAGCAACTCTCTTGATCAAAGCAACGCAGATGAGAACTCTGATATAAGGGTAGGACTATAGGAGCGGAGCGGCGAGTCAAAGTCAGGAAAGTCAATCATATTTATAGGTAGTTAAGTGTCGTGTAGGGTACTAGGGTTTTCAACTCCAAGTCGACTTGCCTTCTCACAGCCTAATAAAATAGGAAATTAATTTAATTACGATTCGTTCTGGTCCTTATCTTGATTTTACGGAAATGTCCCAAATTTAGGAACCAAAGTAGAATCGAAAGATAAACAATTTGATCTGATTCGGTGTGAGAGTCGATTCGGTCCGATTCGGTCCAATGTGAATCGAATCGTTGCCCACCCCTAACAGCTGGAAGGGTAGATGCTCGCTACAACTAAATGTGATCTTTGAGTGGGTAAGAGACTTACAAGCTCTTGAATTCTCGACAGAAAACTTGCACAAAACGTTCACAATGAACACGAGAAAACTCTCTATTTGATTAATAACTTGTTTGATTAATGATAACTTCGTGTACATGGAAGGCCATATTATAGAGTTCTTAAAGGCATAAAACTAACATTATAGGAATAGGATAACAAATCTCATACTAAGTAGGGAACAGAATACTAACTAAGTAATATATTAAACTCAATTTTATGAGTAAAGGAAGCTCATTAGAAGTTAATTAAGTAATCTCCAAACACGTTTTTAATGCTTGAGGAAACTCCTTAGTGGTTAAGTAGTTTATTTCCTTGTCCTTTTCACACTTGGACGACTTGAGCAGTAAGGATGGATGACTTGAACATAAAAAATGCCTTTCTTGGGCAGCAAGAAAGACATTAACGGTTTTGGCCCGCAAAACACCTCCCTCTTCAACTAATATGTAATGAACCAACTCCCTACTTTCATCCAAGCATGGTCACAGCTCACGTGTAGTTGTAAGCAACCAGTTTATCCATAAAGAATGCTCCCAATCGATTATATCTTCGAATTTGAACCTTCATCTTTGGACCACCAGAACTATATATGTTGGCAATCAATTTCACATAAAAAAAAAAACTCGTAGCCTTTGCTTGTACAACTGTTTTCACCAATCTTGAATGCTCCCAAGCTCTCTTTGAAACTCTTAATTCATCTTTTGGCCCATTTTCCATATGAAGAGATTATTTGACCTCGAATAATATCATGTGTGGACTGGTGAGCATAATCGCATCATTGTGTTTGGCGAGGGCGTTTGCGCTGGAAGTTGCCACGGAATAGAGGCATAAATTCTGCTCGAGGAAGAGGGGTTCCCGAGGGGTGGTACATCAACGGAGGAGACACCCAATGAGATAAGTTTTGATTTGTTGACCACTGCGGAGGGAGGAGGAGGAGGAGGTGGAGACAGAGGAATTGTGGCAGTTAAACTGGATGCATGTCTGGACACTCTCTCTCCTCCACTACCGCCATCGATATCGTTCTACCCTTGAGTCATCGTCGCTCGCCTTGCAATGGAACTCTGCGATCGGAAATCATCGTAACAGAAATGACCGCTGCTAGATATATCTACGTAGCACATTCAATTATTGTTTTTTAACCACGTTAGCACAAATTGGCCATACCAGAGTCAACCAACATTCAAACGGGTAGAAAGTTAACGATTTGACTAATAAATTATTTTTGGAAAGGTTTTGCTATTATTTTGTTTAAAACGAAAGATTTGGCAAAATTTTTGTATCTATCCTATATTTTATTCTTATAACTAAGTGAATAATTATCATGATAGATGTAATGATATCATTGTTGAATTATTTTAGGCAATTACCCACTTATGAGTAATTTTACCCAAACCATATTGGACACATTTAGTATATATGGGTCGTGTATGAGTGAAGTATATATGTGTTTGGGATTTTGTAGATGGCTTTGGGTAGGTTTTGGATATTGTTTCAATAAGTTAAATAGGTATGGGTTGGATATGTATATCCATTTAGTTGAGAGTGTTTTAACTACAAATAGAAAAATTGGTAATATTTGTTAAACTTAAAAAGTTTAGGTATCAAAATATAATATCTAAAAAATTTAGGTACTAAAATATTATTTTCCATAAATATTTTGAGGACTTCTATGGAAAGAAAACAATTAAATTTAGGTACTAAATCTAAAGATCTATTAAGTTTAGATACCAAACTGTAATTTTCAAATGGATATGGTTATAAATCCAAATCTATAGATTAAAAACTCAACCCAACCCAAATAAATTGGTATAGGAACAAACCTATCAAACTCTACCCATTTACCATATATTTGGATTTCATACTCAACCCGTTTGGGTTGGATAGCAAAATACCCTTGGATATGACAGAATATACGTCATTTTTTTCGGAATAGTAAATATTGAAGTTAACCTTTTGTCGGTTCATTGATTATTATTATGATTACAAGTGATTGATTGGTTGATAAGAAAATGTGTTCCTTGGGTTGTTAGGTTTTGTTGCCCATGCAGTACCCTATGACTACACAGCAAGTATTGAGGCAAGCTGCTCTATCAATCAATAAACATGGCCCATATATACCAATCAAATAAAATTCATGTGATGTAACAATATGTTGTCATTGTTTTCCCTTCCCCTATCTCCTTTTGAACTTTTGCAGTGCCTAGAAACCCCACAAAAGGCTCAATACAATGGAGGAAGCATAGTGAACCCTGAACTGAATGATGGTTTGGCTGGATGGAGCACATTCGGGAACGCCAAACTTGAACACAGAGAATCCCCAAATGGCAATGGCTTCATTCTGGCACAGTCCAGAGCTCAACCTTTCGATAGTGTCTCTCAGAAAGTCGAGCTGAAGACGAACCTCCTCTACACTTTTTCTGGTCAGAAGACGATCTCAAAAGAAGAAGATTATCAATTACTTTTTTGTGGAAGGTTTGTACCTAGCTATTGCTTTTCTTTTCTTCTCATTATATTGTTGGTGAATCCTCACTGCAGCTTGGGTACAAGTGAGCCAAGGGAACCCGAGCGTGGCAGCTGTTTTCAAGACATCAAGCGGGTATGTTGAAGCTGGAACCGTGATTGCCAAGCCTGGGTGTTGGTCAATGCTCAAGGGTGGGCTCACTTTGGAAACCTCAGGCGAGGCTTCTCTCTTCTTCCAGACCCAAAACTCCACAGCGGACGTAATGGTTGACAGCATCTCCCTGCAACCATTCACTCCGGAGGAATGGAAGTCTCACCAGGATCAGACCATGGACAAGGTTATTCTTGTTTGATCCTTAAGCATGCATGGCATCTACCCGACGGACTTGTTTAGTGTTGAATTGGGTTCTTGTATTTGAAGGTCCGGAAGGCAAAAGTCAGGATACAAGTAGTGGACAAGCTAGGGAACTCCCTGCCCAAAGCAACAGTTTCCGTCCAACAAAATGCACTGACCTTCCCTCTGGGATGTGCCATCAACAAGAACATCCTCACAAACGCCGCCTACGAAAAGTGGTTCGCGTCAAGAGCGTTTAGGGTCACGACATTTGAGGATGAAATGAAGTGGTACAGCACCGAGCCCACGAGGGGCCACGAGGACTACTCCGCAGCAGATGCATTGCTCGAGTTCGCCAAGCAGCACAAGTTGGCAGTTCGAGGCCACAACGTCCTGTGGGACGATCCGACTTACCAGCAAGGGTGGCTGAATTCCCTAACCCCACAACAACTCAGCGTTGCTGTCGATAACAGGATTCATTCTGTGATGTCCAAGTACAAGGGCCAGGTGATAGCGTGGGATGTTATGAACGAGAATCTCCACTTCTCCTACTTCGAGACCAAACTTGGGCCGAATGCTTCAGGGCATGCCTACAATTTGGCTAGCACAACTGATGGCACCATCCCCTTGTTCATGAATGAGTACAACACGATAGAGGAAGTCACTGATCCAATGTCGACCCCAGCAAAATACCTGCACAAGTTGAGGGAAATCCAGGCATATTCCGGTAACGCAGACATCAAGATGGCAATTGGCTTGGAGTCTCATTTTGTGACCCCTAACATCCCCTACATGAGAGCCTCCATTGACATTCTAGCTGCTGCAGGGTTCCCCATTTGGCTCACAGAAGTCGATGTCAAACAAGGTCCAAAACAAGTGAGGACACCAAACTAAACACATATATACATACATAGCTTCTGTAATACTGTTACCAGAATGAATGAGTGAAACATGGCTTTTTCTTTCCTTGGCAGGCAAGCTACCTAGAGGAAGTTCTAAGGGAGGGGTTTTCGCATCCGGAGGTGGAGGGGATAGTGGTGTGGGGCGCATGGAATCCGAAAGGCTGCTACAGAATGTGCTTGACGGATAACAATTTCAACAACTTGGCAACAGGGGACGTGGTGGACCGCCTGCTGCATGAATGGGGCGGCTCTAAAGAGCCTCTAGTATTGGGAGAAACCGATGAAAATGGGTTTCTGGAAGCTTCCCTCTTCCATGGTGACTACAATGTCACAATCGTTCATCCTGGTGTCAACAGTTTGGCTTTGCCTCAGAGGATGATCGTGGCTCCTGTAACACCTACACAAGCACAACCTTCTGTTGTCAAAGTTACCATATAACCCCTCATTGTTCAGTTTTTTTTTCCACAACTACTCTAATGAACTCGTAACCCACCAGTTCAAGGAACGTTGGTGTCGATAAACCTTTGGTTTATTAATTGGATATCCGGAACTAAGGATGATATTTACCTGCAACCTGGATTGCCGGCTCTGCCTACAACCTCCCCACATGGCGCCATTTTATTGGTTGATTTCCTTTTATTTTTATCTTTCTTAATTTTGCATTAAAATGGCCCATAGAAGTGGTCGTCTCACGGCAAATTGTATTATTAGTCATTAGCACAGGGCCCGACCCCTTGGCCAGAAAAGTTTAGACAAAAATATGCATATGTAAAATGCTTACAATATAATAAGAAGATAAGACATACGATTGGAGAAAGAAATGCAATTGTTCAAAAAACAAAGGAAAACATATACATAGTTGATTTTCACTACTTAAGAAGGTCATATAGTACATATTAGAGTTGCTTCCCTAAAACATACATAATGAACCCTCATAGTGAAAGAAAAAGATTGGTCTCTGATAGAATTTAGTATCTCTCCATATTGTTTATCCCTGTAGGCATCACTTTTGTTGATCACAATGGGGGCAATGGATATGAATTTGTATGATTTGAAATAGATCGGACATGATACAAAATTGTCACTAATAGTGAGTTGGACAGTGTATTGTGCACATGTGGACTCCCAAATGACTTTCATGTCGCGGATATGGAGCAACAATGTAGTAGTTTCCCTATAGTAAAAGTTTAATTTTGAATGAAATAAGTTGAAATAATGAAAAGGTATGATTAGTATAAAGCATTGAAGAAAGGGTGCTAAAAATGTAGTTTCCGAACTACCATTAATGAAGAATGTATGCGCAATACAGTTAGGTTTGCAATTGAACACATTTTTGCTCGTTCTTTGGCAACTTCATAGGAGTCCTCTTTAATGATGTATCTGACTTTTCTTAGTCTAACATAAGAAATGACATATAGCGATGTTATATTTTTTTATAGCTATGCGCATGTATATAACTTCTTTGCATAATGAAATTTACTCACGGGTTTAGCAGTGGGTGCAATGAAGGTCGATTTAAGTTGAAAAATAACTTGGATGGTGAGGATGATGCGAGTAATACTTGCCTAAAAATGATGAAGCAACTTAGTGAAGAAAGGATGTAAATCTTCTACGGGAGAAATAAAAATTAGATTGTGCAACAGTAAATAAAGCCCTAGAAATGGCATGCCTCTTGTTTGGTCCACATATACTGAAGAAATTACACATACCACAGTTATTTGAGATTGAGCAGGTATGAAAGCTTCAAATTCATAAATGAAGGAGCCTTTCAATACCAATCGGATCACAGGGCCCCTAAAATACACGAGGAAATAAAATGACTTAGGCATAACATGTGAAGCATGCAAATGAACATCAAAGTGTTGCATATATAAAAGTGCATAAATCACAGAATGAGAGTTGCTTCCTATGATAGATACATAATCAATCTTCACAATAAAAGAAATTTATTATCCTTTGGTAAAGTTCAATGTATCCTTCTACCAAAAAAAAGTTCAATGTATCCCTAAAATCCACCCCCCCCCCAATTTTAATCTTTATTGAATGGGAGAGAGCATGTTGGACATTGTCGCCGGTACTAAAATAAAAAATGCATTGGTTTCTAGTTGGTGTTAAAGAGACATATGTTTAACACGATCAACAATGTTGTGATTCCCATGCAGCTCTCGCCATCATGATAATCATAATTCTCAAAAGAGCCAATTCAAATACGGGAGACGCGAAGGTCGATTCAAGTTGAAAAATAACTTGGATGGTGAGGATGATGCGAGTAATACTTGTCTAACAATGATGAAGCAGCTTTAGTGAAGAAAGATTGTGATTCTTGTACAGGAGAAATAAAAATTAGATTGTTCAACAGTAAATGAAGCCCTAGAAATGGCATGCCCAATGCTTGGTCCACATATACTGAAGAAATTACGCATACCACTGTTATTTGAGATTGACCAGGTATGAAGGCTTCAAATTCAGAAATGAAGGAGCCTCTCAATACCAATCGGATCACAGGGCCCGTAAAATACATGAGGAAATAAAATGACTTGGACATAACATGTGAAGCATGCAAGCGAACATCAAAGTGTTGCCTATATAAAAGTTCATAAATGACAGCAAGAGAGTTGCTTCCTATGATAGATTCATAATCAATCTTCACAATAAAAGAAAATTATTACCCTTTGATAAAGTTCAATGTATCCATGAACCCCCCCCCCCCCTCCATTTTTATCTTCTTTGAATGGGAGAGAGCATGTTGGACATTGTCGCATGTAGTAACTAAAAAATGCATAGGTTTCTAGTTGGTGTTAAAGCGACATATCTTTAGCATGATCAACAATGTAGTGATTCCCATGCAGCTCTCGCCATCATGATAATCATAATTCTAAAAAGAGCCAATTCAAATACGGAAGACGTGCTAAAGTAAGCTACATTTAAGATAGATAAGAACATTGTCATATAGTTTTGGATTTCTTATCATTTTCATTGAAAATGAGTCAATGATTTTAGCTATTTAGTCGAACAAATGTGTACAAATTGTTTTCATAGAAGTGCTCTTTAAGTTTGCATTCAATGCTCTAGATCCAAGCTTTTTTGCATGGTTATTTGACTTGGTAACTCACACCACATAAGTAAATGATCTCAAATATTACCTAATATAGCTACTAATAACTCCATTCCTAACTTTCCATATATTTATATTTAAAACTCTATCTCATTTAACTATTCACTTGTCACGTGTATCGAGAGTATACTTTAAGTTCATTTGTATTAACTCATGTGGCAACCAAGAACAATATAGTCACTAACATATTTACTTGGTATCACAACTAATTAAACGTGTCCAACCAATTCCACGACCCAAATTAGCAATCACGTTAATCAACCAAGCTATGTCCAACCATAAAGAAATCGATTACTAATCACCATAAATAGATTCATCAAAGCCAGAATCAAATGAATTACAAACGTTTAATAACCACCATGTATAGAAAATGGTACTTGAAATAAATGAAATGCGCACACTAATAATAGCTCTTCTACTTATCTTATTGGTATTTTAAAGACATTATTATCATGTGTTTTTGGATTAATAGGAGCACTACGAATTCAACGATTCCACTAAGAGGGGAATTCATTAATCTATCAAGCCCTACTACAATTTTTGATTATGGGAACATGTTCTTAAGCAAGAGTTCAAATGTTTTCATTCTATGATTGGAAAGAGAGCAAACCGATACCGGTGCTAGACCCTACAAACAACTTTAAGATAATTTCCAAATTGGCATGCAACCACTCCGATCTTGACTGTTTCTCACTAAACACAGTCGTTAGAAAATTCGGAGATTTAATGAAACTCACAAACTCTCAAGGGATCCACATTTCCTTACGGAAAGGTCTAATCACACTGGAATAATCATCGCGCATAGTACGTAGTCATTAGAAACTCCAAGAGATTGGCCAACCGATAATATGTAAGGATAAAATTCACCACAAATTAGATTCGAACTTTATGGTCAACAATCATATAAATATAATAATTAAGAAGGTATAAATTATATAAAAAAATTGTGATGGATAAGAGCTTAAATTGACGTATTATGATAGTTGAAAGCTACTATAATATCTTAATGTATAGTGATCAAACCTTAAGTTTTCTAGGTATCTCCTTAAAATTTTAATTAAATAAAGCACTTATGCCACAAACACACAATCAACTCTTGTGAAAATATAATTTTTCAAAGAAAGATTCATTTTTTAAAGAAAAGATATCTCATGAATATTTAAAAAGTAATATACGGTCATTGGAATAATGAATTTTGGTGTTGCATTTGGTGTCAATAGTCATGATTACTTAATTTTAGATAATATGTAAATATTTTAACTTAAATGAAAATTTTGAAATTCATAAATATACACATTTGCATGAATAAGTTTATACACGTTTGTAACACTAAGGTAAAAAAAACACTCAGTACTCGATTTTAAAAATATACATTTCAACCAATTGTCACTAATACCACGAATAATAAATGTACTTCTAAACCATCCATAAAAGATTAATATTATAAAAAAAACAAATTATTATAAACACAAATATTTACAATAAACTAATTAATATAAATTATAAAATAAAATCCATTAAGGTCACATATTTTGTGTACAGGTCTCGACTTTAGGTACATGTTTGGGCCCATGGTGGCATACACTTTTATCACAGCATCTATACGTCCACTCCATTAACCCTTCTTCATTAAACATAGCTTAAACCATTCTCAATCAATAGCAAAACACGTTAAGAAATTACCAACCACCGGAGTAAAAAGAAAAAGGAATTCGACGTTGACCATATAGGTCTATTGAATAGCAGTCGGTGGCCGGGTGAACGCAAATACCATAAGCCTGAGTGTTGCAGGTAGGTTTCCCCCTAGGGCACGTCAGTTGCAATTTCAGCTCTTCTGTTGCGGGTAGTTTGCGGAGTATCAAGTAGGGCTGGCAATTCGGTTTCCGGTTAGCGGCTAACCGGCGGTTTTGACCGAAAACCGACGGAAGAAGACCTGCGGTCGGTGGTCGGCGAATGCTTTGGGGTGGTCGGATAACCGCAAAACCGACTGACAGCCCTAGTATCAAGGGTAGATAATTCAATTTCAAGGACGGGTGACGTCAGATTGTTTAATGCCTGCCGATGATATGAAACACTTAGATTTAACGTTATCCAAGTTCAAGAATAGTCTTCCCCATAGGAACTAGGAAATTGGTACAGTTGTTCTCTGCGCCCGCGAAAAGCTCAGTACAACCTGCTACGGTGTTGCTGGTGATTCTGTTCGGTTTCTAGAACCTTAAATATTGTTGGCCTTTTCCAAATCAAAATAGGGAACGGGGGAATTGCTGGGTATGAAGTGGGCCTCAGCCTGCTGTGGTATTATCCCACTTGAGGCCCAAATTGCCTACTTGAATTCCAATAGAAGCAGGCCGGAAATCAGAAGCCATCAAAACGGAGCGCTTCATTAAATTTGCAGGGTCAGGAAAAGACCAAAACACCATTCCGTGAAGCTCTCTATAAGCAGCTTTTTTGAATCCCTACAATTTGAAGCCATGAATCTGCTTCATAAATTTTATAGATCAAGGGGTGGTTTGCTTGATCGATTTGGGTCATGGATTTCGGACTCAAATCTCAAGCATGATGGATTTTAGCCAAGTGCATTGTTTGTTGCCAGGTGTTAAATCCGTTTATTTATGAAAAAATTTCCCGCTGCAATTTATGATTTGAGTATTTTATTTATCAGGGTCATTTTAGTAAAAGTAGGACCCGGCCGGGTTATGGTGTTTGATT